CAAAAAAAAAAAAAAAAAAAAAAAAAATAGAAGTGCATTATTAAATTTCTAAATAGGTATTTTAAAAAATCCCCTTATTGTTGTTTTAATCACACGATTGCAGATAAGATATAAGAATCTGGTAGTAAGAGGTTCTTCAAGGACAGTCAGAGAAACTTTTAGATCTCTTATGGGGATCTTGTGCTGAGAATTTAAAGCCCTGATCTAACCATTTTCTTTCCCCACACTATCCAGCACATTTAGCAACAGTAATCAATCATGTTAAATCCCTTACTTTCACTACAATGTTTTATGGCAGCAACTACTTGGTTACCTAAAGCTTTGCCTTCTCTGTGCACTTTACTGCAGTGTCTACAGGTAATAATTTAAACAGCTGTTTTGCTATTGCATGCTATGGAATACCAGTGCTCCCTTTATCACTGGAAACAGGTTCATTAAATCATTTAAGTCTAATATCAGAGACCCCAGAACCAATTTGGAGCACCTATCTATGATAACTAGACTAAAATATGGCCCCCAAAGATCTCTGACTCCTGGTATTCATCCCCTTGTATAGTAGCCATTATGTAATATACATTGTCTTAGGATTGGTCTAAATAACCAATAGAATATGTCAGAAATGTTTATATTTAAAAAGAAGAACGGTATAACCCAACAATCCATCATAAAGTTCCTCCACCATAAGAAACTTTAAAAGCTGGAAATGATGGCTCATGCCAGCAATCCCAGCACTTTGGGAGGCTGAGGTGGGTGGAACACTTGAAGTCAGGAGTTTGAGATCAGCCTGGCCAACATGGTGAAACCCCGTCTCTATTAAAAATACAAAAATTAGCTGGGCATGGTGGTGGGTGTCTGTAATCCCAGCTATTCAGGAGGCTGAGAAAGACCCCTGAGAATCACTTGAACCTGGGAGGCAGAGCTTACAGTGAGCCAAGATTGCATCACTGCACTCCAGCCTGGGTAACAGAGTAAGACTCTGTCTCAAAAAAACTAAACAAAAATTAGCCAGGTATGGTGGCATCCACCTGTAGTCCCAGCTACTCAGGAGGCTAAGGTGGGAAGATTGTTTGAGCCTGGGAGGTTGAGGCTGCAGTAAGCCATGACTGCACCACTGCACTCCGGCCTGGCTGACAAAATGAGGCCCTCTTTCAAAAAAAAAAAAGAAAAAAAAATGTTTTTAATGAAACTTGAAACCCCAAATAATATATACTCAATGACCACAAATGCAGACTTTTTTATTTTTTTGAGATGGAGTTTTGCTCTTGTTGCCCAGGCTGGAGTGCAATGGCGCAATCTTGGCTCAACGCAACCACCACCTGGGTTCAAGCGATTCTCCTGCCTCAGCCACCCAAGTAGCCTGGATTACAGGCATGTGCCACCATGCCCGGCTAAATTTTTTTTTTTTTTTTTGTATTTTTAGTAGAGATGGGGTTTCACCATGTTGGCCAGGATGGTCTCCATCTCTTGACCTCGTGATCCACCCGCCTCGGCCTCCCAAAGTGCTGGGATTACAGGCGTGAGCCACTGCGCCCGGCCAAATGCAGACATTTTTATGTATAATAACATAGATTAGAACAGAAAATTTGTAGAGGTATAAACTTACAGAGTGTGCTATTTATCCATTTCTTTATTATTGTGAAAGATAAAGGTGGCATATGTTATTTATCTGCTTGCTAATCAACAAATCAGTCAAGCTTCTTTGGTGTGCTTAAAATACAAACACTGTCTTTTTAATTCCTACCTGGTAAATGATGGAGGTCAAGGATGCATTTATTACCACAGCACCATCTTTCAGGGCTTTTACTACGTGGTAAGAGCCATTCACAGTAGTTAGTTGCTCTTCAAAGTACTCCTTAGGAAAGTCGTGTGTAATCCTGAGATTCTGAAAATCAGCCCCACAGCAACACAAACCTGAAGATATGTTCTTTCCCTGAAGCCATCTTAATCCCAAAGCATATATAAAACTGTAGCTATGCGTTCATGGAATAAAGAGATAAAACAAAACTCTTGCTCTCCCTCATGGAAATTCTAAGTTGGGGAGATATAACTTTAAAATGGTACTAGCTTTTGAAAGATCTATCAATGGCAAGCATTAGGAATAGCAAGAGTCAAAGCTTATGCAAATTTTAGTGTAATTTTTACCATATTATAAATTGACAGTTCTCAGGATAAAATAAGGACCCTGAGTACAATATTTCACATCTAATATTCATACTACTCTCATCACTACAAAACTCTGGTAATCATCTCTGATGTGAAGTTGTAGAATGAGGACACCCTCCAAAGTGTTATCACTGGTACTCATTTCAATTCTTTTCCATAATTCTGACCAAATTATATCTTTTACTTCTGATTTAGCATTCCTCAAGAATAGAACTAGCTGGGCATGGTTAATTATGCCTTTAATTCCATTGAGGTAGGAGGATTGCTTGAGCTAGAAGTTGGAGGCTGCAGTGAGTTATGATCACACCACAATTCCAGCTTCGGTGACAGAGACTGATTCTCTTTACAAAAAAAAAAAAAAGGCTGGGTGTGGTGGTTCACACCTGTAATCACAGCACTTTGGAAGGCCAAGGCGGGTGGATCACGAGGTCAGGGGATTGAGACCATCCTTGCCAACATGGTGAAACCCTGTCTCTACTAAAAATACAAAAATTAGCTGGGCATGGTGGCGTGTGCCTGTAATCCCAGCTACTCCAAGAGACTGAGGCAGGAGAATCTCTTGAATCAGGGAGTCAGAGGTTGCAGCGAGCCGAGATCGCCCCGCTTGCACTCCAGCCTGGTGACAGAGCGTAACTCGTCTCAAAAATTTAAAAAATTAAAAAAAAGAATAACAGAATTAATGATAATAGTAAATTAGCAAGCTGCTTTTCCAAAGGTAAAAATCTAGAATCAAAGAAAGAAAGAGGGCTTGGGTTTTCTAGCCAGGAAGATGGCCCACTGCATATCTTATGTATCTCATCCCTATAAGGAGCTCAGAAAAATACAAAAGACTGACTCACATCTGAAATATAGACCTTCGTGCTGCTTCTATCAAAGACTTCTACTGTAATGACATACAACTGTCCCACCTCTAGACTCCATCGATTTCCAGGCTGGACAGTGAAACCTACACATAAATCGAGAAACAGAAATATTAGAAGAGGCTAACATTTTTCTGCAGGTGGGACAGTGAAACCTATACACAAATCAAGAAACAAAAATATTAGAAGAGGCTAACATTTTTCTACAATGAATTTAAAAATACAATCTAAAAATACAATAAAGCTATTCAAACAGCAAAATTTACTAATAGATGGAGATGTTCCAAAGTAGATTCTTTCTTCCTTCCTTCCTTCTTTCCTTCTTCCCTCCCTCCCTCCTTTCTCTTTCCTTTCTGTTTCTTTCTTTCCTTTCTTCCTTTCTTTTCTTTATTTCTTTGACAGAGTCTTGCTTTGTTGCTCAGGCTGGAGTGCAGTGGCGATCTTGGCTCAACTGCAACCTCCACTTCCTGGGTTCGACTAATTCTTGGGCACGCCCTCGTGCTCCCAAATAGCTGCAATTACAGGTGTGACACCACCATGCTCAGCTAATTTTTGTAATTTTAGGAGAGATGGGGTTTTGCCATTTTGGCCAGGCTGGTCTCAAACTCCTGGCCTCAAGTGATCTGCCTGTCTCAGCCTCCCAAAGTGCTGGAATTACAGGCCTGAGCCACTGTGCCTGGTCTAAAGTAGATCTGTTTTGTTTTCTTGAGACAGGGTCTCACTGTCACAGATGCTGCAGTACAGTGGTATGATCATGACTTACCTCAGCCTTGACCTCCTGGGCTCAGGTGATCTTTCCACCTCAGTCTTCTGAGTTGCTGGGACTACAAGCTTAGGCCACTGCACCTGGCTAATTCTTCTATTTATAGTAGAGACAGGGTTTCCCCATGTTGCCCACACTGGTCTCAAACTCCTGGGCTCAAGTAATGTGTCAACCTCAGACTCCCAAAGTGCTGGAATTAGACATGAAAAACTGCACTTGGCTCTCCAAAGTAGATCTTTTAGTTCCTTCTCTCAATATAAGGCTGGGCCTGGTGGCTCAAGCCTATAATCCTAACACTTTGGGAGACCAAGGAGAGAGAACTGCTTGAGCTCAGGAGTTTGAGACCAGCCTGGACAACACAGCAAGATCTCATCTCTACAAAATATTTAAAAATTAGCTGAGTGTGGTGGCTCGGAGCTATAACTCCAGTTACTGATAAGGCTGAGGTGGAAGGATCACTTGAGCCCAGGAACTGGAGGCTACGGTGAGCTGTGATTATACCACTGCATTCCATCTTGGACAATAGAGCCAGACACTGCCTCAGAAAAAAAAAAAAAGAAAAAATTGTATAATAATTTAGGGTTCCAAAAATCCTGGTTTAACTTAGCTCATCTCAGGCATAAAGAAGCACTTTAGGCCGGGCGCGGTGGCTCACGCCTATAATCCTAGCACTTTGGGAGGCTGAGGCAGGTGGATCATGAGGTCAAGAGATCGAGACCATCCTGGTCAACAAGGTGAAACCTCGTCTCTACTAAAAATACCAAAATTAGCTGGGCATGATGGTGCGTGCCTGTAGTCCCAGCTACTCAGGAGGCTGAGGCAGGAGAATTGATTGAACCCAGGAGGCGGAGGTTGCGGTGAGCCGAGATCGCGCCATTGCACTCCAGTCTGGGCAACAACAGCGAAACTC